CACCTTTTTTAGCACAAAGTATTTTTAAAATAAAATTCTTCAATTACAATAAATCCCAATAGGGATGCCACTTTCAGTTCGGAAGAGATGTACACACAAAATGAGAAAGAATGGGTTTAATCTGAAAGCTCTTTCCCTCTCCTCATCACAGGCAGCTATTGTCAGAGTGAATTAGAAAGTTTGCAGAAATACATTGCTTAAGCAGGGAAAAATGGGAATGGTCATAAAAACCAGCAGAATTGCTGCACGCAGATTATCATTTGGCCTTTAAATTGTAAATCGCTGGTTTTAAATAGGCCTGGTGCAGATGGTTTCTGCCACAGGTTTATTGATTAAAATAGCTGCTTTACATCAGCTCTGGGTTTGCTTCTCTGGAGGCTTTTGTCTTCATGAATAATGTACCCATTTGCTGAAATTTTGTTAGAATTCATCTGCTGGAGGCTGGCTGTGTTTCTCTAAGTTCCTAAGCCTCCGTTGACTCAGCTCAAAATTGTGACAGCCCCTGTCCTTCCCTACTCAGAAATGAATATTCCTTCTTCCACCCTTCCAGTACTGAATAAATCTAGTGCTTGCTCATTGGAGAGTGCACTTGGAAACAGCTGTGAGTGTTTGGCTGTTTGGGGAAGGCTTGTAGAATATTGAAGGCTGTCTTGGCTATACTGGGGATTAGATTTTTGCCAGCAATTGATCCAAAGCCTGTAAGAGTGAGTGGAAAAATTCCAGTGAGTTTTGGATCAGGCCATTAACTCTGAGACACGGTGCTTGTTTTAGATGGGCATGTCTCATGCCTTCAGTGTCATAAGTCTTCCAGTTTGCTGGAAACATCTAGTGAATGTACGAGTAAGGGCTTTTTACATTATTATTTGGACTGTTTTATGCATTTCTAAATATGTGTACTTCATTTACTGGGAGATCCTTGTGCATTTTGTGTTAAGCACAAAAGGCAGTGCCCTGCTTGTGTAGGGGGTGGTGGAACAGTCAATGTGCAACTTCCCCTTGCAGACTGAGGCTCACAGAGCTGATATATCTCCTCTGAGTAGGCCTTGATGCTCTGCAAGAGGAGAACCCTACTGCAGGACCTACAGCAAAAGGAGGGGTACAAATACCATTGAAAGCAAATGAAAGTGGGTAACATACTTTCCCTCCTCCTCCCTTCTGATCCCCTTCCTTATTGTCATAGCAATATTTGTCTTCCCTTTAACTGGTCACTACAGCAATAGCTCTTCATGAAGTATCTGTTAGACCAGGGCAGGGGAAAAGTCAGATTAATGCCTTTGGTGAAAATACTTAAAATTGGTCTTCCCTTTCACACTTATGCATGGGAAAAGAGCATTGTTGGTAGACGAGCTAATTCAATCTTACAATTCTGGAAATGCAGCCAGTCACAGACAATCTGGCCTGTCTTTACTTTCTTGGAAGGTGGTGGGAAGCCCTTCTTTCTACAATTTTACACCAAGATAAGGCAAGAAACAAGTAACAGTTACTATGAAAAACAAATGATTCCATTCTGAAATGGCCAAGAACAGGATATTGCAGTGCTCAAACCTTTTTCTGAAGGTTATCAGGGTTTGATTTATTTTGTTTTGTTTAACCAAATTTAAAGCTCTTCAAGATTTCATTTGGTGAAGTATTTTGACCCCGGTGGGACCAGCATCTTGACAGCATGTTAGTTCTTCTGAACTATCTCTGACTTGCCTCTATTTTTATTAAGGCATAGAGGTTGTGGGAATGATAACTTGCTTCTTTATGACAGTCAAACACACAGCTAGAATCACACTCCGAGGGCAGCTGACAGGCACTAGATAGGTGGTTACTGTGTGGATGCTAGCAGCTGAGAATCCTTCCTTCTCAGGCCACTTGTCTGGTGACCGGTGCTGCCACAATATATCTCTCACACTTCTTACAGACCTGAGAGAAAGATGTGTGACCGGAAATATGAGCATCCACTGGATCTTTTTGCTGTCAGGAAAGTCCCCTGTGGCTCTGGAGTGAGTGTATGTGGTTTAGAGCAGGTCATTAGACTTTCTTTCTTTCCTCCCTTAGAGCCTGTCATGAGCATGGGGTAGACCAGACAATGCATAAAATTCCCAACACTGTTAGTGTGGACTTTCCAGCAGCCTCACTTCCTTACATTATACTTACAAGCAAGACTCCCCTTGGTGTAGTTAGGCCAGTGCTTGAATGGTTTGGAAAATCCTTGCTAAAACATATGGCCTGAAATTATAGGATAATGTTGAAAGTCCTCTCCTTTCTTTGCCAAAATACTTTATATCAGTAGTGAAACAAAGGAAGCCTAGTTTATTGTGGTTCAACCTTTGGTATCTCCAATGGTGGAAGCTCTCATTGCGGGCTTTCCTGTGGCTGAGATATTAAAAACCTCTCTTTGTGGCTTTGCAGTCCTGTCACAAAGTTTGAGCTTATGTTATTCCTTTTCCTTGTGAAAGTAGGAACTGTCTGCTAATGATGGGTGAAATGAGCCAGTAAGCTCAAACTTTATTAGGGTGAGGCAAAGAGGTGCATATGTATGCATCAAGATGCTGTGATTGCATAAACCTTATTTTCTCAGGATACCAGGCTAGACGGTTCCAAAAGATGTTTGATGAAGCCTTTCAAATGAAAGCACTGCTGGTAGTAACAGTAGTACTGTTAGATTTCTTACTGTTCAACTGCTGTGTTCAAGGCATGCTACAAGGCAACAAAGGTACATGGGAGTAGTGTTTTGAAAAATACATACTAATTTTGGACAAAGTAAATATACGCAAACATGTTTTTCATTCCTCCCTTCTACGTTTTAATCAAGAAGGTGATGGTATTGTAATAGTGTCTCTCTTATAGTTGATGCTTTAAGGAACTAATGACCTCTGTTTTACCAGGTATAAAGAGGAGCCAAATTATAGGATAATCTATCTGTATGGTTTATTTTATTGTTTCAAAGAAAGATCTGAAAGGTGATGAAACTGCAATTAAGAAAAAAAAACAAAGGGATAAATTCTACTGGACCTGTGGGATACTGCATTATCAATGGATGGAGAGTCAGGATACATGAGCTAAGGAACCTGGCATGACTCCTTGCATGTAAAAATATTTTTAAGTACCTAAAAATTTGCACCTCTTGATATGGCCCATTCTGCACTGTTTAACCTTGTAGGAATCACTGTGTGTTGAATTCTGACCTTCAGAAGGGTTGCTGCTGGGGGTCATGGAGGAAGGCCTAACTAGTAACTGGTCAAAGCGGTGGGAAAGAGTCCTAGTGATGCCCACTATAATCCTCTAGGTTACCTGCATTCCTACTATATTTTCATGGACATGGATGAAGCACAAGGGCAGAGCTGGCCTGGTTGGCAGCAGAACAGAATACATGCCTAGGATGTTCAGCAGCAATCAGAGGATTTAATGGGAGTAGAGGATTAATTAATTCTGATCCATACAGATGCATTGGCTTATTGCACAGTCAGAATCTTAATTAGGCAATCACATTTTTTCCTTTCACAGTGACCATTGCTCCAGCTGTGCTGTAACTCTTTCCTCTCTTTCTTTGCAAATCTCTCTCTTTTTTAAAAATAAAAATTTGCATACCTCATTAGCAAAGTTTCCTTCTTTTCTCTCTATTTTTCCTGTTTGCATCTACATGTTTGCATATATGCTCCTGATGTCCTATAATTCCGCAACCTTCATTTTCAAACCCCTGTTATGGAATGAAATCATGACTTCTTCCTCAGCTCCTTTATTCCTCTAAATCCAGGGTTTCTAGCACTTCTTTCCCCCTCCTGAAGCCCCCAACCCCTGCTGACTCAGTTAAATATACATGTACTCATTCCCTCTTTGTTCCTTCTTTTCCCTTCACCCCTCTGTGTCTGCTTTTCTTATGTCAGCTTTGATCTGTTTTCTGGCAACACTAACATTTTTAAATCTTTAGTAATTTGTTATTTTTTGTACCTTGGTGCAAAATTTGATATATCTTGGAAAGGAAGTGTGACTTGTCCCATTCACTGCAGGAACAAACTCCTTGTTACCTGGGAAGAAGGTTATATATGCAGTTGAAAAATCTTTGTTGGGGAAATGCTGAGGCAATGGTCCAATCCACTCTGTGCCGTCAATCTAGTCTAAATAACTGAGGCGTGTTCCAGATTTGGCTGTACAGTTAAACCCAGTTTTGCTACGCTAAGCTACTGCAGCAAAGGGGGAAATGGAGGGGCAATACTTTACACCTCCTTATGTTCTTTTGTTGTGGGTCCTGACCAAAATGATGAGAAGAGTGATCCTGAGTGATGGGAGCTGTGTCATAGATCTCTGGAATTCAGTGGGGACCTTCTGTTCATCAGCAGAGGCACTGAGAGGTTCCTCATATTTTATAACCACTCACTCTCTTGGAGTATTATCAGAGACTTAAGCCATTTTTTAGGATATCCTGTAACTCTTGTGTTGTTGCTGTTACATAGCTTTTTACTGTACATACATCTGTCCAGATGTTTTTTCCTTTTTTTTTTTTCCTGTCTGTTTATGTTGCTTTTATGTTCTCCACCACATTGACTCCTGGTAAGAAAAATGGCCACCTTAAAGGCTGCAAATTCCTCTGAAGCTATAATTTCCTCAGCCTCCCCTAGCTGTGAGGTTTCCTCCTGGGCCGTTCTTAATTATGATCCCTTCAATAAACTCTGATGGATTTGGTACTTTCTGAACAGTAACGTCAGCTATTTCCAACAGTAACAGTAGTAGATAAGTTCTTTGCCAAGTACCTACAGAAACTCTTGGCACAAGCGCTTAACAGTGCATCTGCCAGCTGCCTTATGGACATGATTCCATATGGGTACTCTGGTCTGCAGAACCTGCTCTCTGTCTCTGCCTTTTTCTTGTTCAGATGCCTTCCAGCCTTCCCTTCTAAGTTAGCCCAAGAATAAATCCTTCCAATTCCTCCATACGCTATTCCCCACAGTGACGTTGAACCTTATTTGTGACCTTTCCATACCAAAGATTGATTGGACTTTGTTGTTTTATTCCAGGTCACCGGTCTCTTCAGAAGATCAAGGTAAGATGTCTTTTATAGATAAATGAGACTAAAGACTAGCCGTAAGCTGTGTTTTAAGGCAGTTGTGGTGAAGAAAAATGATTTTGATATTACTCAAACTTTGTTCACTCCTAGACACCAAGTGCTTGTTCACTTAGTTCATTTAGTTGCAGCTGACAGAAGTTAAGCCCGTGTTACTTGTAAAATGAATCTTGCTCCAGAAAACAATTTATTGCAAGTCTTTGCAATTTATTCACAGAACTGCATAGGGCTTCACATATGAAAAATTATATGTAGGCTTAAAGGGCGATATATGTTTTTCGTGAAGATGAGCAGGTTTCTTATGACTCTTACAGGACAGCACCTTTGAGCAGAGGAGAGTGGATTGTGCTTAAAAGCTTGAACCGAAGTTATTTTGGGTAAACACTAAAATCAGTTTGGCAGCATGGTGTGGAATTTAGTGCTGCTAAGAGCTTCTAGATATAAAAATGTCATGGCTTGAGTAGGAAGAGTTGCAGGTTATGGTAATATGCTTGCTCTGAAAGAGTCTGAAGGATCTGGTCTTTACCTATAGACTAAAGATGGAGTTTGCAGTAACTAACTGGTTAATAAACATGACCTACATAGGTGCTTAGAGCGAGGTGGCATAAATATCCTCTAGAGCACATTAAAGTATGGTTGCATTGGTACTGAAATCCAGAGGCACATTGCAAATAAGCTGGTACTGGCAGAGTTCCATGAAGAATAGATTAAAAAAAAAAAAAAAAAAAAGATTGTAACCGAGAGGGGAAGTTCATCGTGTAGCTCTGAATCTAGAATATAATTTTGGACCACAAAAGAAAAAAAAATATCTATTTTCTTATAGCATTCAATTTGTAAGCAGTTACACAATCAACAACATTTCTGGACAATACAATAAGTATTATTCAAGAAGGATCCAGATGGGGAATAGTTAGGACTGTTGCAAATGGAGATGTAAGGAGGTCTGGGCCTGAAGGTATGTCACTGAAGTATGTGTGCTTGGAGTGTGGAGTGACAAGTTAGGTATCAACCTCCATTGTCCTTGGCTCCAGCCAATATCTTTTTAGTCAGTATTGTGGCTGTCAAACATATTATCATTAATAAATTCTCTTCCATCTCCTTGATGTGTCATTTCTTAGTAAAGAAAGTTATACAGCAAGCCACAAAAGCAGACAAACATGTCAGACTAAATATATATCTGGCCCATCTAGTCCATTCCTAGTGTCCGATTGCAGTGGTTCCCCTGACAAATAAGAGCATGAGAATGGTAGAAGTACACAGTTGAATTTCCTGGTGTACCCTATCAAATTCCTGTGATTTACAGACCCTTGACTTTGTGAGCCAGAGGCAGTTTTCTTGTTTAGTGGCTCATCTGCTTTTTACCATGACCAAAGCTTCTTAATGTAAAGTACTGGAGACTTGTGAGAAGTTAACAGTATACTCCATTTCTCCACCCCTCAGAAGAAATTTGATTTCTCTCTCCCACTATGCAGCATACAGACCACGGTAAACGACTACAGTACTAGAAAGAAAACATGACAAAAGTGCTGCAGCACAAGCTGTTTTGAGCCTAGGTACTTCTCAGCCCGCTTTATGCTTATGTGGAAGCATCTAAAATTAGTCTTGGACCTGAAATCTCTTATCCAAACAAAAACAAAAAGGGAGGATCCAGGACAGAGCTGAAAACTTATCTCTGAATTGTACGTCTTTTATGGTGTTTGTGCAGACCTCTCCGGGTATTTTTTTCTTGAAGTGGGTATCCAGGAGTCAGTGTTGAGAGTCTTATTTTCATTAATAGTCAGTACTCAACTGTGTGCCTATTCAAGGTGATAAACATTTATATGTAGTTTTATGAGACACTAATGCTTTGGGGTGCATAGTAGGCAAGATCCAATTGTAGAAGAACATACCTTCCCTGACATTGCTCCATGTGCTGTATTTCAGCTACTCTTCCCTATTATGGGACACCTTTCTAGTGCTGATTTTCTGATGACGTGGTGTCTTGGCCATTACTGAGAAAAGGTGCTTTTCTTATTTTTGTTCCCGATATTTGCTTTATCTTCTCTGATCTTCAGTCCTCATTTTTAAATTCTACTCTTTCTCTGTCTTTCTTTCTTTCCATCATGCTTATCTCCCTTTTCAAATATCTCTTTCCCCTTGACCACGAGGTTGCATTCTGCATAAGTTCTTGCATTGTGCTCCTCACTTGGCTTTCTGAATGTCCTGCTTCTCCTCAGTGTGGACTGCCTGCTTCCAGCACTAGTTGCAAGCAGTAGCTGTAGCATCTGCAGTGTAGCAACAGAGTTGCTACCAGAATTAGCATCTAGTGTGAGTGGCACTTCCATTAATCCCTGACAAGACAATGCATTATGCTGCCTTGAGGAGAGGGTGAGGATAAAGCACCATCTGTCTGGGACCGGGCATCTACTGAACAATTGTAACAGCACACAATGCTCCTTGTTGTGGACACGAGTTAAAGGCACCTTTATCAGTTATAAAACAGAGCCATTTTAATTGGCACAGAAAAGGCAACAGTACTGCTAGAAAATCCCATACTTCAAATGGAAAAAACCAAACCTCTTAAAGATTCTAGAAGGGTAGTGTCTTTCTTCTTGGTGCAGGTAGTTAGGAAATACATAACTAAAGAGTGAAATCCATCATCTTCTTTCCTTTTCTCTCCTTTTCTTTTTTTAATTAAAAAAAAAATAAAATCACAAAAAGAGCAGAAAAAAAACCTGACCCCTAAATTCCCTAAATGAGTGACAAAATGGAACAACCTAAGTAAATACCAAAGCATAAAAGTTTAGACAGAGGATTAGAGTGATGGCTGTGAAGAATGGAATGGAAGGGCAGTCAGGTGGGCTCTGGTGCAGTTATGTGCCATGGAGCCTTGGAGGACAGTGGTCCTTCCTTGGGTGCTGTGACTAGCTGAGATCAATAATGGGCAAGTGGCAGGTCCACAGAAGATCTAGTGTATGTCATGAGGGAGAGGACAGAGAGGACCCCTGCTAGCAAATGGTACCACCTGCTGTATTTTCACTCTATAAAAATTCTGGTCTTATGCTCAGGAGGCGTGAAGCTGTTTGGAGGTAATTGAAAGAAATCCTATCTATTGTTTCTACATCAGGTATGGTTTTGTGATTGGAATACAGGCTTCTAATGTGTTGCCTGGCCAGCACATAGCCATTCCCTGATTATCATTGGGTGAATGGCTGAGGTTTACCAAAACTCGTCCTTCATCTAGCACCTTTCAGTACTGCACTGTAGATGGTATGTGTGCTAGATCATGCCCTGCCCACTCTTATTCACAGCTGGCCTGCAGAAATCTGGCTACAAATCTTCCTATGCTAATGCATTGAATAATATTCTTATATTTTACATTAATTTTGTTCTAGCTTCATCTGGGTTATATTTTCCATGTTTGGGTTACCCTGTGTAACTGAGTAGGCTGTTCTTCATCATCACCTGAGCAACTGGGGTAAATGCTCTTAAAGGAATACCGTGAGTTCCATTTCCATTTCAGTCTTCTGGAAAAAAAAAAGTACCTGCAAAATCTTGAGTGGTGTGTGGACATGGACATTGGCATGTTTTTATCTAATGGCAACTTGGAGCTGATGCAGCTCAATATTTGTTTGCCTAACTTCAAACAGAGGAACCTTGCCTTTGATGGAACTACTCAAAGTTTTAAGTGGCTATATTAACACCTCTCAAGTAGCAGTCAACCCCAGTGCTTATGCATCCAAGTTTCATTCTGACCTGGAGACAGGAAGTTCCAAATATTTGTATCTCTTCTCTCTTGCTCTTCTTGTTTCTCTATAGACCCATGAAACTGGGCTTTTGGCCTTATTTGCTTCTAGCAGACATGGGGTTTTTTTCTGCATTAGAATAATTTCTAGAAAGCTTTGCTGTGATTTCTGTGACCCGCCTGGATGCAGTCCTGAGTAATGTGCTCTAGGCATTCCTGCTTTAGCAGGGGAGTTGGACCAGATGATCTCTAGAGGTCCCTTCCAACTCTGACAATTCCGTGATTCCGTGATTAAACCCTGTTGTTTGTTTTCTTTTTTTTTTTTTTTTTTTCCTGCAATAGATTCCAAATTCATGAGGGAATAGGGGAAAACTGATGAATTAAGACAAGAAGCAAATATATTCAAAAGAGAAATTTTGGAGACGGTTATTACAATGTCATGATATGATACAAAGGGTGAAGATGAAGGATGATATTTCTGCTTGAAAAGATGACTGATGATGCTCAAGGATCTTTCAGATTCTGGCAAATGGTGGTTCCATGACAATACTTACAGTCATTCAGTCTGGATATCCTATCCTTAGGAGGGATTTTTGCAGTGCCAGGAGTGCACTAGGAGTGAAGTGTGTTTGAATAGTGACCTTCAAATTAGCCTCTATTAGAATATTTTTCCACAGGGATTGCTTGGCCCAGGTTCAACTGAAAGCTTGGGGCAAGAAGGTGTAATTTTGTTTCTAGATATCTCTCTGGATGGAGAGAGCTGCTGTATGAATTATAAGGAAGGGAGTAATTTAATGTGTTTGTGGAAGGCAGTGGGAGCGCTTGCTTTGTAGTACAGCAGCCATACAGCAAAATGTTTTGCTGGGCAGTATCTGCTTCTGCCTTGTAGGCAAAATGTTCTGTGCATTATGGTATTTGCTCCAGTGCTGTCTGCTCCATTAAAGAGAGGAGGTCTGAACCCATGCGAAGAGGAAGATAGCCATGGGATCCCCAAAAGAGGGCATAAGAGCTGAGAACACTTCCTGGGACCTCCAACGCATGGGATTTCCTGTTGTCCCTGGCAGCCTGTGGGAACATGGACTTCACACTTCCTTAAATCCCTTTCTTCTTTCTGGAGCCACTGCTCACTAATCTTGCTGTCTGCAAATAGGTGTTCTCCTCAAGAGTTTTTTCGGCATCCTTTCATCCTGAATGAAAGGATGATCAGGAATCTACAGATGAACCCAAACTTCTCAAGGCTCGTAGATTATTATTT